CACTTACTAAGGGGTCAGTTTTGGCAAAACACTGAAACTGAGGTCCTGGATTTCTTCACTTGTAAATAAGGATAATAATATCTATTTTATACATTCATATGAGACTTAGAAAAAAATAATGTATGTAAAATTTCAGAAAGCAGTTAACATATTAGTTTACCTAGCGTTGATCAGTCTAGAAGTCATAAATTATAAGCAATATTTCCTACGTATTTTCACTTGACCTTCACATAATTCTATATCCATTGTTGATTTAACTACATTTTACAGAGAGGGTTATTTGCAGACCTTCTTCAGGTTTTTCGAAAAAGACCAGATGGATAAATCCAAGTGCTTTCAATGAAATGACACCCTACATAACTGATGTTCCACTCAAATACGGCTAATGCAGTTTTATGTTCAACACTGCTGCCTGCCCTAATGGTAGTCTCACATCTGTCATTATTTCAGAATCAGGCAATTTACACAACTCTAAAATTCAAAAATGTTTAGTCTAAAAATCTGAATACAGTGTCACAGTTCCTAGAAAATGTCATGTGATTTTGCTATCTAGTAATTGTCAGATTCTGTGCACTTAAATATGTGATACAGAATTTTATTGTTCATAAATCATTTCCTCACTTAGAAATCATCAGTATGTACCAATGCACAACAATGCAATATTTTGCTACAAATTTGAGTGTACATTACAGCAAAATGTGCTACCAACAGAGAAACTGCAGAAAAAAACTGAATCAGGACAATCACAAAAACATTGCATTATTGCATATATCCTACGGGAAAAAATTCAGTCAAGGCAGTGATTCATGACTTGATTACACCATTCCCAGTGCAATTACATGTGGAACTACTCAGCCTTTTCTTCACAGAACATCCAAAAAGAGCTATAATTAGAACCTGTAGATAAAAGGCCTTGCATAGTTTCAGAGACTATGTAGCTGCTGTTCTTGGTCATGTTAAAAGGAACTACTGATCTGCCCAAAGAAAGCCATATAATACAGTGCCTTATTCCTTTATTCATTAAATAGTTAGATGTGGGCATAATTCAAACAAGAATTTTTAGGTTAATTAAATCACTTCAGTTAATAGCAGACATTTTTTTCATAGACTACTATTAAACTAATGAGAAGAGGTATGAATATATTATCAAATTGAAGAGTGGGGAACGTCTCTTCTCGCATGCCCTGTATTTTTGAGCAGATATTTTATATTTAGCTTAAGCATGGCCTAAAAAATATATCAGTTTTATTTCCCTTTATGACTCCTAAAACCACTGAGAGATGGAAGAGAACTTTGGTCAATTTTATTTTCTTTTTGCCTTTCATCAGTGGAGATACAATAACCTCCCATCACAAAAATGGGAAGCAACCTAAGTGTTCATCAACAGATGAATGGATAAGGAAGATGTGGCACGTATATAAAATGGAATATTACTCAGCCATAAAAAGAAATGAAACTGGGTTATTTGTAGTGAGGTGGATGGACCTAGAGCCTGTCATACAGAGTGAAGTAAGTCAGAAAGAGAAAAACAAATACCATATGCTAACATATATATGGAAACTAAAAAAAAATGGTCATGAAGAACCTAGGGGCAAGACAGGAATAAAGACACAGACCTACTAGAGAATGGACTTGAGGATATGGGGAGGGGGAAGGGTAAGCTGGGACACAGTGAGACCTACCAAACATATATACACTGACCAAACATGAAATAGATAGCTAGTGGGAAGCAGCCACATAGCACAGGGAGATCAGCTTGGTGCTTTGTGACCACCTAGAGGGGTGGGATAGGGAGGGTGGGAGGGAGGGAGACGCAAGAGGGAAGAGATATGGGAGCATATGTCTATGTATAACTGATTCACTTTGTTATAAAGCAGAAACTAACACACCATTGTAAAGCAATTATACTTCAATAAAGATATTTAAAAAAATAATAAAAATTAAAAACAATAAAAAAATAAAATAACGAGAAAATTTTTCTTATTTCAATTTAATTAATGGATACAGTTTTTTGAACTATATTCTACCTTTCACTAGGAATAGATGTTTTCATAGCAGTACTACCATTTTACATTTTGTAGAAACATCACCTTCAAAGGAGTATTGAGGCCAGCTTTTTGGTACACTACTCTATGTGTGAATAAAAGAGTTAAAGCCATGTTGTGAAAAAAGAACCTGCCCTTAAAGATTTGAAAAAAGCATTTCTGCTTTGGTATCTTCATGAAGAGAAAATATAGACCATGTTTTATGATGATTTAATGCATGATGTGCAGAGCTTGCATTTCAGAATTTAAATTTTGAAAGCAATGTTGGCTGATTACAAAAACCGCACTGCCACTTATGACACTTTAATTACAAGTTTCCAGGCAAATATTATGACACTCTATGTTAATTGCTTTCCATGTTTTACAAGTTTATATATATTTAGAGACATGACTACCAATGAATGTTGCAGAATTATCGGGCAAAAAAACCTATTGGCCCAATATATTCTATACATTAGTAAAAAAAAAAAAAAAAAAGAAAAGGAACATATGGAGCAAATAAACTAAAAGGAATGTCCCAACACTGCTGTAATCTAACATTTAATGTTGACTATGTAATAAATAAACTGTAATAAGAGAAGAAGGTCAATAACTATAACTTCTTTATGTTGAGATTTAACTCAGCTTTATAGGCCAACAGTTACTTATAAATGTGTTAAATAAAAACAGGTGTTGTGGTTTTGGCATATGTCACTAATCAAACATAAAAAGATGGTCTTTCATGGGGTAACTCCATCTATAATTTGAGGAAGAGAAATGGATTTGAACCTCAGAGGTTGTGTGTAGGCATCTGGCTCAAATATCCTTAATCAACTAGCTTAAATCATCCAACTTATTCAACTTGCTTTATTGCAAATGAGTTATCTGCTCAGTGGATGATATGTGGCTGTTAGTAAGCTCTACTTTGAGGTCCAGGTTGGTTCCCAGACATCAACAAGGGTCAACGTCTCACATTATAATGTAATTATTAGGTCACAGTAATTGGCTGTGAAAGAAAGATGGGCTGAAGGGAAAAAACTTCATGTCTTCAAAGACTTTATAATATCAAAAGGCCTCACACTGGATGGATATTTGAAAGGATGTAAATATTTAAATCTAGAAAGGTGATAAAATCCTGGGTTTATTTATATCAAGACTAAATGAACATATTACAATGTTAAGAATATATGTGTTATTTTGGTATTCAATGTCAATTATTTATTTACCTGGCTCACATCTATTAAACATACTGATCATATAGTTAATAAACTTTAGATTCTGGCCTTTGATTATTGGTCTTGCCTTTTGTAACTTTCTGAAAAGTTGGATTTATTCTGCTTGCATTATCTTCATGTCCAACACACACAGAACAAAAATCATGTTGAGTACATTTTCAACGTGACGTCACTATTTTTACTCATTTGATTGTTCCTTTAAAAAATAAACCTATTTTCTTTAGGGAATTATGCCTAAAATATATTAGCATTTTAAATAGGAAGCTGTTCAAAAACAGTACTCCAAATTATGATGCTATAACATGAAAAAGGCAACAAAGAAATATGACTGAAGACTACTTTCCTGTAGTAGCAAAAGTTCAAGTTTTACGATCAAAAGCCAAATATTCAAAAGTATTACAGTATTCTTTTTTAAGTTGCATAATAATCAAATCTCCACCAAAGATGACTCCTTCTACTCCTGCCACTTAATGACCACATTTTGCTCAGGCATTTACCTGTCATCATGAATCTAAGGGAGTAAACTCATTTCTAACTCCAGGGCAAATCATAGGATCAGTCCAAATCATGGTAGTTAGGAAGTGAGCTTTTGTCCATGGGTAAGTGTGACTTTAGTTGGCAAATTAGACTAAAGAGGAGCACATTTATTGGATGTTGGGAGGAAAGGATTTCCTCTCTTCCTTCTATAGAATAACAAAAACCCTGGCATATTTCAGCTCTGAGGGAGAATCAGCTTAAGGCGAATGCTAAAAATATCCTGTTCCATAAACATCTTTATTTTCCTCTAGGATTCTCCTGTAAATGGGGGAATCCCTCAGGAAGGCAGAGAGCTTGCTGATGCAGGAGCAAAGTCATCCTACAGCTTCAATGAGCTGGTTTATGCATTGACCTGGAGGCATGCTGAGAGTGGGGAGGACCTAAAGGGGTTGGCCTGCAACAGGTCATCCCTGAGGTACCAAAATGGAGGCAAATCATATGAAAATATTTACAGTTCTATTGAGAACCTGGATTATGATATTTAATTTGAAAAATTCTGACACATACTCACTGTGATCTCCAAACTCTGTCAGAGCTGCTATCCATTTTGATGTAAACTAACGTGGAACTAAATGAACCACTGCTTCATTTTAATTCTGAGGAACATTTGGTTTTGCCATTATTTACCATTGTTTATTGACATATGATATTTCCACAGACCAAAATCTTTCATTACATATATAGGTGAACATATAGTCATAATTGTATAGTATAGAAAATAAATGTTCTGGTATTATCCTCAGCATTTAATAATGCAAAACTAGTGACAAACATCTTTAGAAAAAATAATAAAATAGTCTTTCAGTATTAAAATTTCTTATTAAAAAGCATCAGGTCAGAGTATGGCATGTTCTTAATGCATAGATGAGTTAGGCATGAATAAAATGAATCTAATCCCATCTCTTATGGTAAATCAAAATATTTGAAATCTACAGGTCACAGTTTGACACAGGTCAATTGAAAAAACAATATATTCAGCTATTCCGTTATTCTGTGGTTTCATGATGTAACTTTTAAACAATGTATAGCCAGGACATAAACAACATACTGCATACTTACCCGGTGATTTTTTATGCCACTCTGCTGAATGCAGGATAAATATATTTGGGCTTTTTATTGCTTGAGTAGAAAGTGCTCATTACGTATTATTTTATGTTTATAATATAAGAGTTAAAAAAAAAAAAAGTTTTTTTAAATGGCATACATCACACTGTTGTAGTGGTTGATTTCCTCAAGATCGTCTTCTGTGGTTTTGGTGCAGTGGGAGGAGGCACAGGTGCAGGTCTGAGTGGGGGGAAGCTGTTACTGTGGCTTATCCCCAGCCCCCCATTTTCTAGTGGAAAAGGAGGGAGGTGAGGGGGAGGAGGCTGGGCAGGGCCATGGGGAGGAAGCTTTCCTGGTGGGTGGACAGGTTCGCTGTGTGAGTGGACCTCCCTATTTTTTATGTGATGCCGGGTGTCACAGTCAGGACAATAGCCATGGTACTGGACTTTTTCATTAAACCGAACTCGCTCCCGAGGCCCTGCTTGGGGGCACCTGTCTTTTTCAGGTCTGTGCATCAGAGGCTGCACTGGAGCCTTGTCCAAGTTACTGCTGGGTTCGCAGCAAACGTCTCCGTTTGGAATTTTGTTGGGTGCCCCTGGGAAGCCTCTGTTTCGCAGAAGGGTGCCATTGGTCTTTACCGGATTGACAGTGGACACCACTCTTTGCGGGTCTTCACACTTCACAGGTGTCAACCGTGGAGGGGGAGGGGGAGGGTTTGGCTTTCTCAGGACGGTGAGGATAGCAGATGGGTGGGCTGGGGGTTTAATGAGGGGGGCGTTGGCCTGCACTTTGATCTTCTCTATGCTGGAGGCTGTTGTCCCACTTGAGCTACTATTCAGGGTGTCCGTTTTGGAGCTGTCGGTCATCTCATCCTCCAGCTGTAGGTCAGAAGTCAGGGTATCAATCTGGTCAACCACCTGGTGGAAAGGACAAGGTAATTGTGTTGAAGAACGACCCGAAGCAAAATATACTACAAACAATATCTTCCTGTCTCGCTATAATCTGTTATGGGAACCTTGACTAATACTGAGTGGTGTATTCCATTGTTCTTAATGTTTTCATTCAATAAATTTAGGCAAGGCAGGGTGACTCTGGGTGGCTCCCATGGTAAGTAATAGTGGCTCAGACTAGGATCAAAGAAAGGAAGATGGAGAGAAATGAATGGATTTAGGAGCTAAAACTGAAGACCTAGCTCTCATGGTACTAGTGTGAACCAATCAATCACATAAGACACTCATATGGAGGAGTAACATCTCTGAGTCCTCTCTAACTTCTGGTTGAATCTGGCACCTCTTCTAACAGGGTTGCTTAGTGTCTCTGCCCTGTTAAGTCATTGTCTGGGGCAACTTGTGGGAAGCTTGACCTCAGGGCAAATGCTCAATTTCAGAACCCAGAAGTTGACCCTCTATCATTTACACTCCCTGCAGTCAGAGATCTTAGAGGCTATTCTCATGGCTACCATACATGTACTAGTATGCCTACAGGAGGAAAGAAAAGTTATGGATTACTTTAAAAGTAATTTATTTTTCAATGGAATGAGTCCCCTCATCTCACGTTTCCATACGTAGACTTTTCCCTCCTCTCTTATTCAGGCCTAAGTTTGTTCAACTGTGAAGTTGGCTCTTTGACACGTGGTGGCACAATTGGGCTCAAAATGAAAATATCATTACCAACAAGAAGTTAGAGAGGACTCAGAGATTTTACTTCTTCTACATGAGTGTCTTATGTGATTGGTTCACACTAGTACCATGAGAGCTAGGTCTTCAGTTTTAGCTCCTAAATCCATTCATTTCTCTCCATCTTCCTTTCTTTGATTCTAGCCTGAGGCACTATTACTTACCATGGGAGCCAGCCAGTCACCCTGCCTCGCTTCTCACTACTGTAATCTCAGTGGTTTTTCTAAAAACAGAATTGTGCTCTTGTCATTCCTTGCTTAAAACCTTTCAATGCCTGCTCATTTCTCTTGTGATATATATCAATTCTTAACATGGTCTCTAAGGTCCTGTACAGTCTCACTCAGTGTTGTTCTGATAAGTGTTTAATAACGGGTTCTTAGAGGTGTGAGTGAGTCCTGATTTGAAGAGTTTGCCAGTTTCCATGGTGTAAACTCCTGCCATGGTTGACTTCAAGTGAGTAAAGGCAACATCACTAAATGTGAAATTGGGAAGAAACCTGCAGGGGTCCATCATTATAAAGTATTTCCACCATACCAGTAGAATAGACATAAACTCAGGAGTACAGATAAATATTAAAATGTAGTAAAATAATTAGGAATGACTAGGAATAATTAGAAAAAAATCTTTCTTTTTTATGTAATCCACTTAATATAGGTTTATATACTTTTGTTTTCAATAATAGTTATTTCACAATTGGCTCACAGGATTTCTGAAAATAAAACAATTGGCCCTTTTTAGCCAGTACAAGACAGCACTCCTAAGTGACCCTCCATATTCAAATCTATTAAGATTCCCTTTTCCTTTCTGTTCTCAAACCTCTCCAGTCTTCTTTCAGACCCTCATAATTGCCAGTCAGCTTCCTGCCCCAGGACATTTGCACATACTAATTTTTCATGTAAAGGTCACTGAATTTGTGTGTGTGTGTGTGTGTGTGTAAGGAATCATATCATATCTATCTGACACTGGTTAGCTTTAGGCTTCATTAAGTTAAGAATGCATGGGAAAAATTGTACGGCAACTACTGAAGTAATAGACAAACTTACAACTTTCGAAATAAGGATTAAAAAGTGAGTAAGGGAATTTTGGCAAATCTAAAAATGGCAGAAAATAAGAAAACAACCAAAAAAGCATACTAACTAGAAACAAACCCATATGATAGTTTAAAAAACCAAACTTAAAAAATAATAATATTAATAATCATAACAAGTATAAATAGATTAAAATAATTTATTCAAGAAGGGACACAGAAGGATTGAATACAGAGTGAAAGAAATAAGATATAGCAGGCAAATAACCAAATGAAAACTGATGCAGCTATACTAATACTGAGCAAAAAACCCTGAAATCTGTTTTAATCAAATAGTATTGTATCAATACAAACAGGTGAAAAAAAAATGAATGAAACAAAATTGAAAGTTCATGTACACACACACACACACACACACACACACACACACACACACACGCTCAAACAATGGGATAAAAGTTATAAAGAAGTAATTCACATAAGGGATGCTTCAAATTTCCAAAAATCATATACTCAATCTCACTAGTAATCAACGTAGTACAAACTGAAGAAAAGTGAGAAAGTATTTCATTCTGAGTAGTTTAGGAAAAACGAACCAGCCTGATAGTTCTACTTGTTGGTGATGAGGTGGGTAAATGGGAACTCTGTACATTGCCAGTGCAAATGTAAATTCAGTGTCTTGGGAAATTTTTGGACAATATCTTATAAATTGTATAAGGTGCTTACCCTACCCTACCGTACAGGTATTTTAAGAACAAAGCCTAGACCGTTCTGGAGAAATTCTAAGAGATGTGCACAGGGTTGAAACAGCACAAGGATGTTTCTTTTAGGTTTTTTTTTTTTTGGTGTTGTTTGTTTTGCCATAGCAAAAAACTGGAAACCTAAATATCTATTAGTAAGTCATGTATGTAAATACAAACTAGTTCAAATGAAGTAACTACAGCTATATTTATCAACAGGGATAAATCTCAAAAATCTTCAGTTGAACATAAAAGTTTAAAAAAATATATCTCTATATGTATCCAATATGTATGTATTGTTTATATGTAGAAGTACAGATGTTTTAGTTTATACAACATGAAAATAAATGATAGACATTAAGTTTAGGCAAGGAGGAAGGGGAAACACTGTCAGAAGGCATCAGCTATATAGATGAAATATTTTATTTCTTTTAAAACTTGATATAAAGTAATTATGATAAAGTGTTAACATTTGTTAAGTTCGGGTTATACTTGATACAGTATTTATTTTATGTCATGTGTAAAACCTTTTATAATTTGAAAATAAAATAAATATCACTACTTAAATGAAGTTAGAAAGAAATAAAAGGAGAATTTCTTAACAGCTGCCATGTGGAGAACACATTGAAAGCTGCTGCAGTTTATTTGCTTGTTGAGTTAGAGGATATTGCAGCCAAGTGAGAGATGAGTAAATTAACCATACAAGGAATACACTGTATTCCTTGAAATTACACTTCTATGTTTTGCTGAAACGATTTCACAGTATCATATTGCAACTAAAGGAATTATGACCACAGGCATGATGGAATTAAGGGGAAAGCAAAATGAAAGAAAGTAGGACTAGAGGGACACATTGTTTCCACATATTTGGAGGTGAGAGGACAGCATGACATCCATCAAAAGTCTAAGAACATCCACACCTAACATCAGGAGCAAAGGAGAAATGTGTATCTCAAACTTGAAATTTAGTCATTTTTCTAAGTAATTGTGGCTACTCAGATCTACGGAGGAATGTGCCAATGGGAGTGAAACAAAGGGATATGTAAAGAAAGGATAATACATTCAGTGATTCCAGGAGGTTTTCCTTAGCCTCACATACAAGGAAGCTATGGTTAGATTGTGGAATAATTAGGAATACTGATAATTGTGGCTCAGGGATCACATGAGCTTAAGGTTTTCATATTGGAAAATATCCCTAAATATTTTCATAAAAAGGAAGCAGATTTGGAAGAAATTAACTGACTAAATGATCTGAGTTATTTGTGGGAATACAAAATTCAGCTTATACTACTTCTGTAAATGTTAAACTGCAAAGAATAAAAATAAAGATACTTCAGGGTTTCAGGGTTGGCATTAGAGTGAAATTTAGGATGAACAGATTTACCTAAAATTAAAAAAAAATAAATAAAAACATTAGGAGCTCCTTTTCTTATGCTCTCACTGGATTTTGCCATTTTATTATTACAGCTGCTTCTATATATCAGAATTGTCTATACCTGTGTGTTTCCCTCAGACCGTGTAAGCACATATTTCCACCTTTGTACTCCTGGCAGAGAGTACAGTGATTGTACACAGTGGATATTCAATAATAAAATGCTGAGTAAATAAACTGGATAAAGGTAGAACCTCTGAGAAAAGTCATTTCTTGCCCTCACTTCCATCTCTCCCCAGCTTTCCCATCTTGGGTCTGATTTTCAAGGTCTTCAATGTCACCAATTCTGGGTTGTCCAGAAAGGCACACAGGAAAGAATGAAGTAGAAAAAAAAGGAAGGCAGCCATAAAGAGTTGGTGAGGCTTAGTGAACTCTCTGCCTATGTTATCTGACTCTGAAAGCCTAGCTCCACAGCTTGGCACAGGGAACATTTCAGTCACTCTCCAAAACAACTAAGATGGTTGAATTACATATTTATCTTTAAATATTCATCAGTATAGCCCTAAATGTATTGAGATCTTTCCTAAATCCTACATATTTCAATTAAAAGCCACAAAATGTATAGCTCAATGGCCTTAAAAACAAAACCCTTTTTCAATTTGAGTGAATCTTTCTCTAGGGCCTTCTCAGTAACAAATCACAACTTCAAGAATTTCATTAAGAATTACAAACTTAATGAAAGGAAAGGAGGAATTTAACTCCAACTTAAATATGCACCAAATTATGAGTTCTTCTATATTTAATATTTATTCATAAAAACAACCACAATTTAAATGTGTGGCATCAGCAGTAAAAAGAAAGGGAAATGAATGAGAGCAATGGGTGAACTAGCTGTCAGACCATGGTCCATGGCCGAATGCAGGCTGACCCAAGAGCTTCACTTCTACTTTTATTTTTTTTAATAAATTTATTTATTTATTTGTTTTTATTTGTGGCTGTGTTGGGTCTTCATTGCTGGGTGCGGGCTTCCTCTAGTTGTGGTGAGTGGGGGCTACTCTTCGTGCGGTGCACGGGCTTCTCATTGCAGTGGCTTCTCTTGTTG